CACACACACACACACACACACACACACACACACACACACACACCACCCCCTGTGGTTTGTAAACTCACTAATAAAACTCACTAGCCACCAAAGAGAAAAGACATGACAGTAAAGAAGAGGAGGACTTGCAGTGGGAGTCTAAGATATAAATATGGTCAAAACGCTTTATATGCATGTGTGAAAACATTATATTAAACCATCACTAAGTATAATTAACACATGCTAATTAAAAATAAAACTTAGATTTTACATTTTTCTGATGCGGATGCCAGTCCATGGCCCAGGACCAGTGTCTCTGGTGCAGTGAGTCTGGGACCCAGGTATCTACGTATTTTTTTACATTTATCTGTTTTGTGTGGCACACATTTGGAGGTCAGAGGACAACGAGGAGGAGGAGTCTCGGTTTTCTCCTTTCACCGTGAGAGCTCTGAGGACTGAACTCATCTTGTCAGACTTGGCAACAAGCACCCTTACCAAACGAGCCACGCCCACACCCCCACCACTTTTAAGCTGCACTGGGGCATTGGTGACTTCAGGAATACTTTGGGCTGGCTGCCCAGCCTCCTCAGAAAGAAGAAGCAAACAGCCATGCATCCTGACAGCCATGTTTCCCAAGAGGGCACACCTCACCATGCACAAATGAATGGGTTTGGGACCCCCTCAGGGAGGCTTTTAAAGCGGCTTCATTTGTGTAGAGCTATGCATGTGAGTTTGTGTGTGTGGTGCTGAGAATCCACCCCGGGGCCTCTCGGATGCCCGGCAGCCTCGTCGCTAGCACTGGGCCTTCATGATTTTGCGGCTCAGTACACGTGGCAGTGTTCAGTGACCAGTACACACGTGGGAGTGGGTAATGACAGCCACTTTCCTGCCATATGGACTGGAAAACAGAATCTTTACTCAAAGGGAAGCGAATCAAGACATCAGCATGAAAGCCTGTGGTGGGAAAAGATGGCTTCCATCCTGAGGATGCCAAGCCAGGTTCCTAGTACTTTCTGGGGACTGGCTGGATCCAGGGTTTCTGTGAGGCGCCTTACAGTTTCTTCTCAAACCCCTAAAGGAATCCAAGGTACAACTAGGCCCGAATAACCGCTGAACTGTAAGCATGTAAAATGCTCATGAAACATTAGCTGGGTGATGATGTAGAAAACGCACAAGGTCAGTTTGATTCTCGGGCACTGGGCTAAGCATTTATCTTTTAAAAGCCACTTCACACAATACTGAAACAATAGATGTGTCATGCTGACTGTCAAAACAATGTCACTCTTTCAGTGATGATTGGCATTTCAAATCAGTGAGGAAAGAATTTATTAATCAATAAAGTTGATTGCATGCCTACCGAGTCTCACACAGGCAATGGCCTGGGAAGAAAAAAAAAATTGAACTGTGTATCCCACCCTGAAGTAAGGAGCCTATGAGTCAAACCAAACCAAGCAATGGAAAATAACCCTTGTGCTGCATGTCCTGTTGTGGCAGAAAACCAACTAGCTGTTTACAAAGGTGTATACAACACGAGGGATGGAACAATAAAAAATAAATGTAAAAACTCAACTCGGGGCTGGAGATGTAGCTTAGTCATATGCTCGCATAGCATGTGTGAGGCCCTGAATTTGACCCCCAGCACCACAAGAAAAGAAAAGGAAGCTGGGGGTGGGGGGTGGGAGGGGAGTGACTACATCCAATGGGATTTTTTACTATACCTAAGTTTGCAAAAGAAAGGACTGTTCATAGACCTATAGGCTATCTGGAAGTAGTCTGGTCCCTCCGTGACTGGCCTGAGACTTCTCCTCCTAGGAGAAAATCCTCAGACATCTGGCCCAGGGAGGAAGCCTCTGGAAGGAGGAGAGCAGGGAGAGCCCTGACTTCACGGGGAAGCTCGGAGTCTGCAAAACCTCCCTCTGTCCATCCCTCCACTTTAGACCACCATGAACTCAAGAGACCAGAAGAGACAAACCAAGAGAAATCAAACCCAAACCCTACAGTGTGTGAGACCCTGGGTTCAGTCCCCAGCACCATGAGGAAAGGGGAAGTAAGGGGACAAAATCCAATGGAATATTGCACTAGGTGTAAGTTTGTAGAATCCTGAAAAGACAGATGGAAGAAAGGCTAGATTTTCTTCACCAACCAGTCATTTTCTTTCCTAACACCTCCAAGGCGTATTTTAATTAGCACTCATACCTGTAATTTTGGGATTAGCCAGATTGTAGATTATATATATTAAATTAAGAAAATTTGATCAACTACTTAGGATGCCAGAGAACATACCAGCGATGAGAACAGAATCCACAAAACACCCTGAAATCCCTGCTGGCTTGTTTGCTAATTCTCTAGAGTCCTTTTGTGCTGGGTGGTGATAATGCAGCTTCAATTCCAGCCAGACAATGGCAGGACGCAGGCAGCTGCTCCGAGGAAAATGAAGCGGTATTATTTATTGTGGTCCATTCTCATTTGCTTCGGAGTTTTTCCTTCCCACGAACAACTCGTTATGAACAGATACTACAGGGTGGAAGGGAGGCATCATTTACCATTGTTACTGCAGCAGCCTCACCTTGTTTAGGATGTCTCTTTCCCTCAGAAGCTCCTCCATTGCCTTCTTATCCATCTCCGCTTGCTTCTTTGAAGATTCCACCTCTGAATTGCCAGGCAAGAAAATAACAATGAAGGTAGAGGAAGCCAAAGTGATTTTTAAAAACAACGTAGTTTCGCCTGTTCAGCGTTACAACTACTCAGAGTTGAGTGACAGGTGACCTTTTTTCTAGCTCAAGGATGTAGATCTTCTGGTCCCACTAAAGAGATGGAAAAAGAAGCTAAAAGAGATTAAGCCAGCCACAGAACCAAGGGTTAGCAAGGATGAGATTAAAAGCTTGAGCCCACTGGCTGCCAAAGTCTTTGCACTGTTCAGATCTTTTTCATTATATCGGTAGGTAGAAATATGAAATGCAACTACCTAGAACTTGTTATATCCTTTCATTTCTCAAGTCTCTCTATATGACTCTCAGTAGAATTCTGTAGCTTTTTATATATAATTCTTATAGACATGTTGGTTACTTTGTTTATAGGTATTTTATTACTTTAGTTACTGCTGTGGAAGAGGAGTCTAGCTAATTTTCCTTTATAAAATGCTATTGGTACCTACATATATTTTATAGCCTACCACCTTACTGAAGTCTCTTATTAATTCTGGAAGATTTTGAAGGTTGTCTCTTAGAAGTTATGGTAGGAAATCCTACCACAGAAAGGGTCCATGCCCTAACCATTATGGCTAACACCGCTCTTAGTTTAGGTGCATCAAAAGAAACAGGTCCCACTGGTACGCAGCTGTAGCTATTTGGGAGGCTGAGCGTTGGAGAGCTGCTTCAGCCTGGAAATTCAAGGGTAGCCTGGGTGATACAGCAAAGCGCTATAACAAACAAAGACCCCTAAGAAAAGATATTGTCAACAGTACATAGGAAATAACCAAAAAAAGAATCATGCTGACTTTCATAAATGTGACTTAGTGAGAAAGGAATTTGACTTGTTGCTTTGCTCAATAGGGTAAAAATATCTATGGGGCATTAGAGAGTTGGCTTGGCGGTTAAAAGTACTTTTGCTTTTAACTCTTCCAGAGGATCCAGGTTCAATTCCCAGCACCTGCATGGCAGCTCACAATTTCCTGTAACTGCAACCCAGGGGATTCAATGCTCCCTTCTGGTGTTTCAGGGTACCAGACACCCACATGGTACACAGACATTTAAGTAAAACACCTACAAACATTAAATAACAATTGAACATGGACACATATAGTCAGAGAGAGAACAATGGAATGATCTCAAAGCTTACAGTTATGGCAGGCAAAAACCATAAAATTAAAACATGAGACAATTTCTGTCTCATTTGGCCAATCACATGCTCTAAAGTTTCATTTTTCTTCTAAAATTTCATTTTTCTTCCTTTCTGTCATGGAAGACTTCAGGCTGTAAACTTTCATTCCCCTGTTAGCGCCCCAGAGGCAAGCTCTGCCCCATACCCGGTTGCTCATGGTCAGTTTACAGAACAGATACATGGAGAGGTTTCCAAGTTAACTTGCAACTACACCTCGATGAAAGATTGCCTCCCAGCCTCAGAAGGACTTTCTAGAGCGGACTTGACAAGCATGCCGAATAGTAATATCTAGAGATCTAGATTTCTGCCCAACTTGCAGAGAGGCAATATGCTCTTTTATGTGTATCTTTAGGCAACTTATGGCACTCAGCAGCCTGCAAAGAAATGTGTGTTCCTACATCACACCATCAGAATTCATACCCAGAGTCTCTTTCTCCAGGTCCAAGAGCCGTTTCTGCCACACCCTATTTGACCAGTATCCCACATTTTAAATTATGCTGTTGTTCAGAGATAACGTGTGACATTTAGTAGTGGGTATATCTGAACCACAACCAACCCCAGACCTTCTTAATCAAGGACAGTCATCTCAACATATTCGAAAAGACCTCAGAGTTGAGATGTTATCTATTTCAGTGGCAAACGCTGAACACTAGTTTAGGTTAGATTCCCCTGGAGCCAGCAGAACTTACGGAAGGATTTGTGATGTAAAGGGGTTAACGGTATTGGAAATGGTGGCCCCTCCAGTTCGAATGTCATCTGGTGTCACTTGGCATGGTTCCATCCTTGGGCACACAGAGCCCTGGGTTGTGGCCTGGCAGGAGTCACCGGCGAGACACTTCTGGATGGGAGCACAGCGGCTTGTAGTGACTTACCTCTCTCCAGCCCCAGGATCTGGTTCTTCAGGGTCTCCTTGTGCTGCTCCACCTCTGCCTTCTGGTCCTCGAGCAGGTGCAGCTTCTTGTGGATCTGTTCCCGGATCTTGTTCAGCTTCCCAATGTCTGTGCGCATCTGGTGGACTTCTTCCTCTTTGGACTGTATTAGGAGAGAGAATCAGCCAGGATGCTGAACAAACAAAAATCCATGACTGACTATGGCAAACTCGGAGACAACAAAAAGATTCTCTGTCTGAGTCAGTGCCGTGGTTCCATGGAACTGGATTAAACACATACACTGTTCAGTTGTGAAAGAAGTTGAAGGCCTCTGTTCTATGGATAAAGTATGTGGTGCATAAAATAAAAATGATGAAAAGGCTGATAAAAACCTTATGTTTTAAATTGCCACCTATTGATAAAATCAACCAAGAATCCTGAGTTATGTGCATGCAAATGCACGAGCTCTGCATACAAGTGCCGCATTTGATTGGCGGTTTCACAGACTTAAAAAGTGATCTCTCTGAGAAGGTTATTAAATTGCTATAAAATATTTGAACATTCTTTCGGGGCCACAGGGTCATCTAGCCCAGTTACAGGCACTGGAAAAGAGTCCCCCCTTCCTCAAAGTGTGTGAGTCTGTCGGTGCGCAGACAGACTGGTGGCCTGGGTAGCGTGAATAGGCAAACCTACGCGACGGCAAGAGGCCTCAGAAAAGAATCACTGCAAAGAAACGCTCCAGTCGTGTGGGCTTTTTAATTTAAAATTAAATTCATACCGAGGGGTGTGGTGGGGCACACCTGTAAGCCCAGCACTTGGGAGGCAGAGGCAGGGGGATCTCTGTGAGTTCAAGGCCAGCCTGGTCTAAAATAATAATAATAATTAAAAATAATAAAATTAAACTAAGTTCACTTTTTAAAGACACTCTCCAACAAGAACTGGAGAGGTGGTTAAAGCACTGCTGCGCTTCCCGAGGACCCGGCTTTGACTCCCAGCCCCCACGTCGTAACCATTGTCCCAGGGATCCAGCATCCTCTTCTGCGGGTACCGGACATGCATGTGGTATACAGACATACATGCAGGCCAAATATAAAAATTCTTAAAGATTTTTAATTTTCTATTTTAAATAGCTAAGAAAACTTACTATAAAGGCAGTTCAGGATTTTTCTGTAGTCTTAACTCTTAAGAGAAAATTAGCTACACAGGTCATCCCTGGGCTACTGCTGGAAACATAATCCCATTAATTTAGGGGTGCAACAAGAGTTGTCCATCTTTCCAGATGTCTCATTCATGTCATGAAAGCACAGAGTTAGTGGGATACTTATTTTTACCGTAATTTCACCTCAGGGGCTAATACATCATTCTGACTTAAGTGACCATCTCTTGTCCGCTCCAACTTACTGCACTGTCACAAGGAACAAGCTGCAACTCACTATAGACTCTTATAACCCTTCTTAGCCTTAGACCCTGGAAGGTTCCGGTTGGCTGACCTTAAAGCCTTTTTCAGTGGTGTGGTGGTTTAACTATAACACCATTAATCCAGACTCCATGGTTATGCTTCAGAAAAATCCTGGAAAATTCAAAACAAGATCCATGGGGTGTGTGTGTAGGTGCGTGTGCGTGTGCGTGTGCGTGTGTGTGTGTGTGTGTGTGTGTCCTCTTCAGATTCTCAGAGGAGACCATAACACAAAAAAATGTTCTGGCTCACTCTCTCTACATTATTCTTCATAGGCCGTTTACTTTAGGTCCAGGATCCAGACACATAATAAAAAAAGGGAACATGGATTTTCCTTTCAGAACTCAAGTGAAAAATACAAAGCTGTCTGTTAATCACAAAGGCACATACTCTGGACTTTAGTGTCAAGTGAGGATCCAAAGTTCATTTGCAAGCACCCTTTCATGAGGGAAGGAATAACGGGAAAACAGCTTGAACTATGCGTTAGCTAGAAGCAAAAAGCATGATTCCACAATGCTGGACTACCCAAAAGTGCCAGCCCATGCCCCAGCCCTCCCACGCTACCTTCTCCTTACAAACAGTAAGATCTAAGCTGAGCTCTCTATTGTGCACGTAATGAATAGATTCTAGTTCTGGGCAACTGGTTGCTTGCAGGCCTAATTACAGAGACAAGCATCTGACCTTGATTGAGAAGGCTTTTACATTCGTATCTAATTTTATAAATAAGAGAGGGAGTCATCAGACTCCCGAAGCTTCTGGGCCTGAAGCAATCACTGTGGGCTTGCACCTGCCGCCTGTATCAAGGCTCTCAGTCCCGCTAATATAGGGGCTCCAGTGGCAAAGGCAAACCTGCATTGACAGGCACTGAGGACGGACGCGCTAGGGGCCAGACAATGCGCGCGGTGTTTACTTTGAGTTCCAGGGTCTTCTGCTGGTTTTCCTGGGACAGCTGTTCACACGTCAAAGTGTGCTGTTCGTTCTCTTGCTGGAGTTTCGTATTCCGCATCTGACACTGCTCCAGCTCCTTCGCAGCTCTCTCGTTCAGTATCTGAAGGGTGGGGGCGGGGGCGGGGGAGCTGGTTAATGCCTGTTAATGTGATGACTATGTCTGCATATGCACACAGGAGACCCCCAAAGATACCAAGCACGGTCCTTTTTGTCTTGCAGAAAAAAAAAAATATTCCCAGTGAAGGCACTAACACACTCAAATATAATGAATGTTAAATGGCTGAGGAAAATGATGCCTTCTAATGAATAACACAGTGAGCATGATTTTTTTTTTTTTTTTTCTGAGAGCCTTTGGGAAGTCTTGTTCACAGGTGGTGGATAAATATTTTAATGCCTGTTTGCCGTTTGGCAGGCTTTGCATACGCAACAATTTCTATAATCATTGTAAATGAGCTAGAGATTCAAATGGGTTTTGTCAGCTCTGGGGCTCTGAAGCTGCATCTTCAGAAGCAAATCCTGCATTAACATGCCTCCAACATTTTCCTGAGCAGAACAATCCCCAACACCAACCCAGCGACAATTCCCCTCTAATCCAACTTAAGTCGAAACCGGGCGCAGCGGTGGAGTGACGTATTGCCTGTCCTGAGCAGACATGATTTAAAACAACAAAGGATCTATCTGAAGAAGCTGTTTCTGCTGGGAAAACACTGAGGATGTGAAGGATAACAAATGAGCTAAAGGAAGAAAAGGGGGAAACAGGCGCTCTAGATAGCTTCCTGGTGTGTGAAAACAAAATGCAAGAAAAAGGCATCAACTCCCTGTCAATGGGAACTAAACAAAATGGGACCAGCTATGCTAAAGATGACAGTTTCTTTTACATTGATCCTGGACAGTATTATTTAAAACCTTTGTTTTACCCAGGTGTCCAAAGTCTTTTTTTTTTTTTCAATTTCATGTTAAAAGGAGCCTCGTGGATTTTTCCCAGTGTGAGACTGCACACTGTGTATTTTCCACTTGAAGTCTGGCTTTATATAAAATTAATAAGGCACAAATGACAAAGAAATGCATTCTAATATCTACTTTTTAAATAGGAAAGTGTTGTGTTACTTGACAAGTCTTTAGAAACAAATTTAATAAGGAAAAAAATATTTTTAGGAAAAGACTCTCCAACTAAATGTATTATTTCTTTAAGGAATGGAAAAGGGGGGGTGATACATATCTGTAATCTCAGTACTTGCAAGGCTGGGTCAGAAAGATTGCAAGTTCAAGGCTAGCCTGGGCTGATCTGTGTCTCCAGGGAGGGAGGAAAAAAGAAGAAAAGAGAGATTAGCATCATTAGTATCTCTATAGTCTTAACTGGCCACAAGAGGGGAAGCATTAGAAACAGCTATAGTTAAAATGCATAAAGATTAAGAATGGCTTTCTCCACTCCAAACTTAAATCTGTTAGTAATAAATATTACATTATACTCATTCACTCATTGCACAGCATTTCATGGGCACCATAACAGCATTGACATTAAGGTTATCTGTCTGCACTGATACAGTTCACCAACTAGCCACACTGAGCACTTAAAATGACCTTGCACAAATAGTTGAATTTTAAGTTATTAATAAATATAAAAGTTTAATGCATACTTGTGACATACATGCTTGTCCACATGTACAGTGCCCACCCATGGAGGGTTTAAAAGAAACTAACATAAAGCCAGGCAGGGTGATAAAGACCTCTAATCCCAGCTGCGCAGTAGAGAGGGGAGGAGAATAGCCAGTTCAAGATCAGAAGGAACAACCTGGAGAGACCCTGTCTCAAAATAAAAACTAAAAATGGAAAAAAAGTAAAGTGTGGTATATAGCTCGATGACAGTGTGCTTGCCTGTCATGTGCCAACTTGTATGTTCAATCCCCACAACTCCAAAAAAGGAGGAAAAAAATACCTGTGGGGTTTGGAAGCAAGAAAATAGTTCATAAATATCCCAAAAGAATCACTGGGGCTGGATAGATGATGGCTCAGTGGTTAGAGAGAACAGGCTGTTCTTCCAGAGGATCCAAGTTGGAGTCCTAGAACCCACATAGTAGCTCACAGCTTTCAGCAACTCCAGTGGTAGACCCCACATCCTCTCTGGCTTCTGAGGGCACTAGGCACACATATGGCACACAGACACACATGCAAGCAAAACACTCATGTGAATAAAAACTCTTTATTCAAAGCCCAGTTACAGCAGTGTGTAGCATGATCCTATCATGACTACTGAGTTGTTCCTATTTTCCAGGAAAATCACACACACACACACACACACACACACACACACACGCACGCACGCACGCACGCACAGTGGGTGTTGGACTGCAGTTCAGTTGGTAGAGGATTTGCCTAGCATACAAAAAGGCCTGAGGTCTGTCCCCAGCATCAAACATACTAGGCATGGTGGTGCCTGCCAGTAATCCTAGCACTTGGGGTTGGGATTCGGGATCAGAAGTTCAAGGCCATTGTAAGCTTCATACTGAATTTGAGGCTACCCTGTGCTACTGGAGAACCTGTAAAGAAAGAAAGAGGGGAAAGAGGGGGAGGGAGGGGAGGGGAGGGAGGGAAGAAGGAGAGCAGAGCAGAGCAGAGCAGAGGGGAGGCTACAGTTCACCTTCTGCTCCTTGAGCTGCTGCTCCAGCCGCTGAAGCTCCTCCTTGCTCTTCACCATGTACTGCTGCAGAGCCTTGATCTCCGTCTGCCTGTTTTCCATGTCCGTCTGGATCTGCCTGAGCTCTTTCTCCAGCTTCTCCTTCTTCCGGGACTCCCTGGAAGCTTCATTCTGGCGATGCTGAATTTCTTGTTGGAACTGTGGGCAAGGACAGAGAGAAAAGCGATGAGCCCTTGCAGAGGCAGGCCTCCACAGACAAGGTCTGAACCAGCAGTCTCTGGCCTGTAGCATGCTTCTACAGCACAGGCCTCTGTGGAACAGTCATGCTGGGCCACAAAGCTCACAGTTTCAGGCGTGTTCTGTGTTGATTTTCAGGACATTGACACCAAAGGTCCACCCTGGCTGAAGGTGATATTGTAAATATCAACCGAATGCAGAAAGCCGGAGTCCTACGATGTTAAATATATTAAGACCACCCAGCTTATCATTATGAGGGGACAGCTACCGGAAATAAGAAATTGTATTTCTCGTTCCAGAGCGCTGCTAAGTCAAGTACTGTGGTTACATCTTGATGTCCAAAGTCTATAAAAAGCCCTTTTCATATCTTGTGCTCAAAAATGGCTTTTTCTCAGAAGAGTCTGCTCTTTTGATTTGTCTTGTGAATTATAAAGGAGAAGAAGGTCGGGAGATTTCTTAGTCTGTTTCTGGTGTAAGGACACCCACTTGAGGCCAAACCATAAGCAAAGCCACGCATGACCTTAGTGACTGCTCAGACAGAACCCCAGGCAAAATGGGCTCAAGAAACAGGGCCAGAGAAACAAGCCAGAACAGAGGACATTTGGGGTTATATCTGAGAGAGGCATTAGATGGGAAAGGAGCCCGGAAGGACAGACCGACTACTATCCAGAACACAGCGAGCAGACCTGAGTGATGATCTGTTCCGCATCCTCCTTGGCGCGCTCTGTTTCCTGCTGCTGTTCAGAGGTCTGAGCGAGGTTCTCACGCAGTTTCACCACTTCTGTCAAGAGCTGGTCGCGCTCCTTGGTCACCTCTTCTTTGAACTTCAGTAAATCTCGGATGCTGAAATGGAAGAAGGGGAACACAGGAGTCAGACAAAGTGGCCATTGGTTCAGGGGCCCTTCCTATTCGCAGGCCTGGCTTCCCCGGAGGTCGATGGTGCACAGTCAGGTGGCAAGTGACAACGATAGGTGTTGGCTGAAAAGAAATGACAAAAATAACAAAACACGTACGATCCTTTTGTTTTTACCAAAATAGTATCTATTCCTCTCTCTCTCTCTACCTCTATGAGTGTGTGTGTGTGTGTGTGTGTGTGTGTGTGTGTTTGTGCGTATGTGTGCATTTTACAGACACTTCTAAAAAGACAGACAGTCATCATATTACCAGTTATCTCTGAGAATCAGGGTTTGGGGTAGAAAAGTCAGAGGCATGGGTTGTTCTGTTACCTCTGTGTTCCATGGATCTGTTACAGTAAGACCATGCTGTTATTGTCAACTCTTATAATGTGCTCTGAGGAGATGTCAATTTAGGGGATTATTTATCTAACGTATCCAATGGGGGGCTACGATGACAACTAAAATGTCACTGTAAAATGTATAAAGCATAAATATAACCCAATAACACACATTGTTGATTTTCTTCCCATTCAACCAAAGAAATGAGTTCATCCCAAGGGCTACAGCCCAGAGAAAATGTTCTCTGAACTAACTGGAAAATCAGGCATGCTGCCAGGTTTTGGAGAGCCTGTGATAATGCTCATTGATTAGAATTGTAAACCAAATAGCGCCACATGACAAAGCCCATTCCATCTGATGGGCCATGACTTCCTGCAGAACTGGTGCTTGCTGCGGAGTGTGAAACTGCATCTGGTAGATGTCTGCAGCAGGGCAAGCCCAGAGGGAGCAGCAGAAAGCTAAGAGCACCCAGCTGACAGTCATCAAGCTCAAAACACGGGCACTTGACAGCACTCCTTCTACCAGCATCCTTGACATAGCATACATGTTTAATAAGGAACCTTCAAACCCGTGCCCAAGCTCCTCTGCACAAGTGAAACTGTAACGCTGAAGCTGCTTGAAGAGAGCGAGCCTCAGCCGAGCACACGGAGGAAGCCCCAACTCCAAGCCACACCTGCGCCACTCTCTTCCTCACCCTCTTTCACTTCTTGTTAAAATGCCTACTGTCTGAGTCAGTTTCCTCATGTGGCTCACCATTAGTTCTTCCATGAGTCCATCACTGCAGAGACCACATGGTTGATTTTCCTTCTCCCTCCCTGATGCCTGTACCTGCCACATCAAAGTTACACTGATAGATCAAGAAAATACAAGAAACTGACAGAGCAACATTAGGCTTGGCTAACAGTGCCCAAGGAGAGGCACCTGTTCCTGGCGAGAGCCTTTGTGTGCCCTGCGCTGTGCTAGATAGAGAATTATAAAATTCTCTTCCTTTGGGAGTTCACAGCTTAAACACAGAGTAAAAATGTCCTAGTTTGCTTTTCTGTTGTTGTGGTAAAGACCATGACCAAAAGCAACCTGGGGACAGAAACCCCCCAGGTCACAGTCCATCATGAGGGGAAGTCAGGGCAAGATCTCAAAGCAGGATTCTGGACATAGAAACTGTAGTAGAGGCCACGAAGGTGGCTTGGTCCTGCTCAGACTGCTTTCTTCCACAACTTCCACCAGGCTCAGGGGCACCACCAACACTGGGCTGGACCCTCCCACCCCAATCATTAATCAAGAAAATACTCCCCAGAGGCTTGCCTACAGGTGATCTAATGGGGGTACTTTTCTCAGCTGAGGTCTCTAGATGACTGAGCTCCTGTCAAGTTGACTAGTCACTGGGATCTGGAGGTGGAGAGGAGATGGAACAGAAATGCTGAGTGTGACAAAGTTAAGATGGTGTTCCAGGTGGGTTTTAAAGGAGAAAAGGCGTCTTTGGCACAGGGGGAAATGCTTGTGTAAAGATGGGAGTACAAACAATGAGTGAGGGGTGGCTTGGCCTGAGGCCAGAGAACGAACTGCAGCAGACATTTGAACAGCTTTGAATGACATGTTGAGGAATCTGTCCTTTATCCTTTGAGTACAGTTAGCCGAGCAGGGATGGGGGACAGGTGCCTGTGTGCTTCAGACACATACCTCAGGTTTCAACCATGGACAAAATGGAAATGTCTTGCTGCAGACATGCGCAGCAGAGAACAGGAGGTGCAGGCCAGGCAGCAGCAGCACCCACTGAAAAGTCAAACCAACAAGACAAAGCATACGGAAAGAAATGGCAGAGTGAGGAACAACCCAGTTCCTGCCCGGAACCTGAACAGGTAGGAAAGATGGGGATTAATCATGGAGGGTAGGTGAGAGCTGTTGGGACGAGGCAGAGAGGCCAATATTCCATTCTATACAAGTTTAAGATGACTGCCTTCTACACACTCACCCTTACACTGCAGATAAGTGTGGCTCCCATCCCTCATCAACGCAGACACAGACCAGCACAGAAAGACACAACTGGTGAATATGCAGAGAACAGCTAACCGTGGGGTGCCCAACCCAGTTGCTATATCTACAGAGCAACTCAATACTGAAGGCCCAGGGACGTGTGCAGAAGAGCAGGTGGAGAGTTTAAGAGCCAAAGGTCCAAGGCGTCTGCTTCAGGACAGTGTCTTCTGTATATGATGGGGAAGCTGTACCCATGAATTATCAGCAATAGGTTTGCCTAAACAAGACCCGAAGAGTGACAACACCAACAGGCATGCCAACACAGATAGGGATGATCTCATAAGGACCCACCCCTATGTGAGGAGCTAGGCGGTCCTAGTGGTTGCTGAGACAGGGAGAATCGGTTTTCTGATAGAAGCCCCTTGATGCATTATCCAAAGCCAAGTGGTCCTCCCTAAACACATTCGCGTATAAACAATGCCAAATGAAATCAGCAGGTTGCATTTGTAAATTATTGCTGGGGGGGGGGGGCTGTTTGTAAAACATCAGCGATTAAGATGCCAAACTAACAGAAAGGTAAGCCTGAAACCTCCACTCAAACTGTAATAGTGATCCTTCGAGAGAAAGAAGTGTAATATAATCTTTGGGGAGGAGAGTGGGAATCTTAAAAAGAAAAAGTAGGAGGCCTGGAGAGATGGCTCAGTGTGCTTGAGCACCAGCTGAACCCAGGTTCAATTCCCAGCACCCACACAGTAGCTCGCAACCACCTGTCACTCCATCCTGGGGATCTGATGCCGTCCTCTGGATTCCATGCACAGCAGACGTGCAAGCGGCACGCAGACAGACATGCGCACAAAGCTCCTAGGCAAATAAAGTTTAAAAACAAATCTTTAAAAGATAAAAACAGCTAAACAGAAAACAGTTTCTAGGAACCCCACAAAGGGGAGTTTTGCAATGCCAAGAACCTTTCCAGGAGCTGCAGTCCAACCCCAGGCTGATGGCGCAAGCCTGCCCTAGGTTGCTGCATGGTGCAAAGGACCCAGCAGAGGCCAGCTCATTAACTGTTGAGAAGATTTGGACCTACTTGCTGTCCTGGTCCATTGACAGTCCAGTCCCCTGCTCAACTAGTTTGGTCAGGTTCACAATTTCCTCTTTCAGGGCAAGAATTGTCTCCTTGGCCTTTTGCTCCTTATCATATGCCGAATCCACCATCTTCCAGGCTTTTTCAATTTCCTGATGGACCAGAGAATATCAGTGAGATAAGGAACAAATGGGATTCCTCGTGCAAGATAAACTAATACAAAGAACAGCACTATGACGACAGTGTGGTTAGGTCAATTACAGAGAAATAAAAGTATGTATTACACACTCTGAGAAGATGTGGACTGAGTTGTTCAATGTGAACCAACAGGGAAGAGCAAGGGGGTGTGGCTGAAAGGTTCTACAGGTACAGCTCTACCTAGAAGGATTGCTTCTGACAAACTGATAAACTTAAAAAACGTAAAGTGAGTGCTTATATGCTTTACATCTATCTACAATGGCTCTATTGCATAAGAGAGGATCACAGATCCAATCCTTAAATATATTGAAAAGATTATTGGTAATTTTGCAAATAAAAAATATAGTTTAGTCAGGCACAGGTGAACTGTGTCTGAGAAACAGCTGTAAACCTCTGGCCTCCACACAAGTACACACATACTTGCATCTGTATGCAAACACACACACACACACCTGTTCTAATGCACACCTGTAATCCTAGCACCAGGAAGGTAAAAGCAGGGGATCATGAGTTTGAGGCCAACCTGGCTACATAGCAGGTTCAAGGCCAGCCTGAAAATATTTATATACATATACTTACACACATACACACACACATTAATAGAACAAACACACACAGATATACAATGTGTGTGTGCGCACATGTGCACTTGAGTTTTGACCTCAGGTCCCATGTGAGCGTGTGAATAGCGAGGTCAGCTCTAGAACAATCCACAGGGTTCCTTTTCTTTGCCGGTACCAGACGATGCACAGCAATCTTTCTATTCCCATCTTCAGAAGCCCAAATCCAGATCCTCTCAAATTCACCTTAGGCAAGCACTCTGATTGGCACTTGGCTACTTTTTATTTTTTATTTGAGAAAGAGAGAGAGAGGTGGGAGGAGGGAAGAAGGAAGGGAGGGAGGGAATCTCAACATGTGTCTCAGGCTAGCCTGTTTTCTTAGAAACAAATGTTCAAGCTCTTGGGGGGAATAAACCCCATGGCAGGGAATGGAACTATGACTTATCCAGCCCTGACTTCCTTACTGTTGTGGAATGCCAGGCAGAATACTGACGTACACACTTAAAGGCAAATTACTGCTGTTGGGGTAAAGGAACCACTTGAGCGTTTGTCTGCAGCAACCTTGACTTTGTCCTGCCGCTTCAACCATCTTGAAGCATTTTTTGTCAAGTAGAATTTGAGTCTTTTAAATAAATAAAAGCCTATAAAGTATCAATGAAATGTTTAGCTTTTATGTTGACAAGAAATAAAAAGGATGGGAGGGGCAAATTCAAGCTTGCTGTCACAGCACACAGAGTCCCCTTGGGTAACCACAGAACGTCCCCTAGTGACCCAAAGCAATGTGTCAATGTGTGGGCTCTGTCCCAATAGACTAGCCATACGCACATCTGGGCAAAACAAGTGTGGGATTTCTAAATGAGAATGTGATTGCACAATGTTTTAGCCAAACCAATTTCACCGATTAGATTTTCATCAATTTGTGACTTTCATTTCCAGTGTTAAAGTTTATAATGAAAAGTATTTTTCCAATTATAAAATGAATTACTGTTTCCTTCTATTACTTTTCTAGCAAGAAAAAGAAAATGACAGTAGAGAAAAGTCATGTTACAGAAGAGTAGTTTCTAAGAAAACGGGTCAGTCCTCTCTTGCACTGGTCTTGGAAGTTAATTTGAATTGGATGACATCTGATTGCATACTATCAAGGGAATTACCTAAAACATTCATAAATTGTTTCTCAGAGCTAGAGATTTAATTATAAATTAGTATAGCTCAACCTCTTATGACTTTGAGATAAACAGGGAACATTTATGTTTTATCTTCAAGAAAGTACAACAATGTTAAGGATGAAAAACACAGTGTAGAGCAAAGGCAAGCTTCCTCCAAGTTCCCCAGACTGAATCTCTGACTCCTACAGATCATTTGGGGGGGGGGGGGGGGAATGAAGAGACAAGGAAAAGGACATTGAGAAGAATGGTTATGAAAACTACCCCCTGGAAGTTCACAAAACAATCTCTCCAGGAGAAAGAGAAAAAGGAGAAATGTAAATGTATTTTTAACAAGATAGCAGGATGAAGGCTCAGTGGATAAAGTGCTAGCCACAAAAACCCAGTAACCTAAGTTGTGTGCCCAGGTTCTACCGGTGACACAAGCTTCAGTCCCAGCGCTAGGGAGGTAGAGACAGGAGGACCCGTGGGGCTGAACCAGCCAGCCAGTCTAGTCTGATCTGGAAGCACCAGCCGATGAGAAGCCCTGTTACTACAAACTAGGGGGACTGTGTCTGAGAAACAGCTGTAAACCTCTGGCCTCCACACAAGTACACATATGCCTGCATCTGCATGCAAACACACACACAGTCAGGTGTATGCACAGCTTACATCAGAGAGAACATCTTGGGATTCCCAGTATTACATCTTCTCTCTACGCCTTTCGGCTAACCTATTCTTTTCCTGAAACTAGAAAACTTGTTTTCAAAGGGTAAACCTCATCAAGGTTAATTACTTTCTTTCAAAAACAACACTCTTCCCTAGGTTTAATGAATATTTACATCATGTACATTTTTATCTCATAACTCATGTCTTACCAGCCAGAGAGCTGTCAGTATAATGGACAAGTGACATTTGAAATTCAAGTTCATCTGTTTCTAGAGCACTGACCTTCTTGAGAGATGTGATGGTGATCTGGTCATCCTGAGAAAGCTTCAGGGCAGTGGCAACCTTGGCAGAGTTCACCACAATCTCTGCGTTCAGCTCTCTGCATTTGGCCATGAGACGCTTCTCATTTTCGTAAGACTTTTTCATGACAGCATGAAGCTTCTCATATTCAATCCTGAATTTTTCCAGACTTCTGTCTCCTGAAAGTTCACTGAGAACCTCCTGAAAATCTCTCTCAATTTCTTCAAATGCAGTTTCCTCCATCACTAGTTTTTCAGCCTTGTCCTGCAAGAAGAAGCAAGGATGTTACTTCTTTACTGTCAAGAAATGGCTCCTGGTATCACACACACACACACACACACACACACACACACATACACACACACACACATACACACACACACACAGGGCTGCTGGTACCCCAGAGGGAAAGTCCCTCATGCACGCAGGTACTAGTACTCCAAAAGGAAAGACCCTCGCACAAGCAGCTGATGGTACTCCAGATCATATGCAAAGCAAAAGCCACAAGCCAGCAGAAACATTGCAACTATAAGTTGGGAAGGTTATATATATATATGGTATTTTATTGATGTAAGGTCATACCCAAGTAATGTAAGCCTTAACTCCAATAAGATGGGCATCAGTCACAGATTTGAGCAAAGACACACAGAGAGAGCCTATAAAGATGGCTTGGACTGATGCAATTGGAATCCAAAGAAGGCTAACCATTGCCAGCGACTACCAGAGACTAGGAAGAGACAAGGAAAGATTTAATGGGGATCTCAAAGGGAGCATGACCCTGCAACCACCTGACTCTAGACTTCTAGCATTAAGAACTGAGACAAAAGATGTCTACTGTGTAAGCCCTCTGATCTGTGGTACTTTGATATGGCTACTCTAGAAGATGAACACCTATTTATTAGGCACAGCACAGCAGCACTAATAAGAATAAAAGTATGGTTAATGCATTCATTCATTCATTCATTCAAAGGGCACTTATTCACCACCTTCTATAGGAGCGTTCTGTGATGGAGCCCATAAAGGCAACTGAGGTAAGAAATAAATGACCCATCCACGGGGTATTTCTGTTTTACTAGCTGGTGGAGTATGCTCTGTAGTAACTAAAGTAGAGAATTCAGTCCTTGCCATAAAGTGCATTCAATGTCCTTTAAGAACACATAAAAAGAGACTTACTCCCAACAGCGAGAATAAAGCACTCTTCGTGAAAGAAGTGGTGCTCAAGCCATTAAAAAGAAGAAAAAGATTCTCACAGGTGGCTCTGGAGAAAAGATCCTTCCCTGAAGATGGCAGTGCCTAAGGAAGAGCTCACAGTCAGGCAAGTGCCCAGTGCCCGAGGTGCCCACATATAAGAGGCGTGACAAGGAGAAGAGGCAGTGATGGGAGTGTGGGCACAGAATGCTGAGCTAAGGATTATGTATCTATTGTTCTGTCACCCACAAAGACCCACTCAAAACTTCTAAGGGTAGATATGATTAGCAAGCTTTATTTATGTTTCCTACATTATGCTTCAATAGTCTACACCAAGAAAGGGCTTAAGGTCATCAAAGAAACCAAATGATCTTTCATCCTAATAATAATAAAATCCTAATCCACCCTGGAGATTCTAAGTAGTCTAAGTTTGCCTCTTCTCTCCTTGAGCACAGCTTGCCCAATATGAGGAAACTTTATATAGTCTTGGTTTAAAAAAAAAAAAAAAAGTACTGTTAATTAAATCCCTACACATGACGTGCAAGCAAAACACAGTGTTTAGAGACTTGAATAGATGTGGTGCCTGTAACACTTGGCATAACAGCTTTAGTACTATTTTAAACCCAACAGAGGTTTCCCTACTAAAAGCATTGTCGCACAGAACACGATTCAGCAAATGCACCAAGAAGGAAAAACCATATTAAGCAAATGTGCTGCTGTTGCTCCATCTCATTGATGCAAAACCTGAGTCACAAACACCAATTCACCCAAGCATCTTGCACTCTGGGCTTGAAAGTGGCATTGGTGTCAACACTTGGTCAGCACTCTAACGATTTGTTTGCACCCAGGTTCTCCCTGTACACCTGGCATTTAGTACAGGGAAGGAAAAATATCGTAGAAACTTTTGCTAACAAAAGAGATCTATTTTCATGTTGTCACTCCAAAAAGCACTCTTCTACTAAAGGCAAAGCAAAGCTAATCTCTTAGCTCTGATCAATGAGCCGTCGGTATCGTCTACTTTGTGGCCAAGCGTGATAGCACGTATTCAGGAAGACAGCAGCAAGAGGTGATCAGAGGAACTGTGACATTCCGCCATTCACCTACCCAGAGTGTCTGCTGAATGCCAGGCAGTGCTCTAGGTTCTGGGGCTCACCAGCTTGTAAGGAGGAAAACTCATTCATGGAGAACAAAGAACAATGAAATAAGACGAGACAATAAGTGCAGGAGAAAACACCGAAAGCAAATAACGAAGGGCATAAATGAGAGTAGAGGGACCAAGAGAGGAAGATGGGAAACAGAGAGACGTGAAAAAGACTGGGTAGTGGGGAGGAGTGAGAGGGCCTCGGTGTCACGGGAGTCATGAGATCAGAGCGATGGCACCTGGGACCAATGTGGGGAATAAAGAACCACAGGAGCAGAGTTTACAAAGGGAGATCGGCGTGAAAGGGATGGAATGTGGGGAAACACAGAGGCCTAGACAAGACAGGAAGCAATAGGGTGGGGCATGGTGGTGTTGGGCGGTGCGGGAACAATGGTGTAGGTCCGTTCAGTCACGGGATTAGGTACTCAGAAGACTTCCACTTTGGTTAAATTTTCTGCTGTCATGTCTTAAAATTCTTAATTTTAACAAAAGTTTTCCGCTTTGCTCTGGGCCTCACAGATTATGCAGCTGGCACTGGCTGGAGACTGTATAAGAAGGTAAGGTGGGGTAGGTTCAGACAGAGCAGTGAAGAATTTAAATAAGACCAGGATAAATAAGGACTCCGAATGTCAAATGATGTAGGACGAAGGCCTGTTATAAATGAGAGAGCTAATGGACAGACAGGTCACTGAAGGATGCAGAAATGAGCCCTCATCAGTGAGGCTGAAGATGAAGTGTCCTATAATACGGGTGAGAGATGGAGGCTGTGAGATGTTAACACAGGGTCAATGAGAACACAGAGCAGTGGCAATGCGCTGAAGGACCTTGACGAAAGTACGTGACAGCTGGGGATCAAATATCAGGGAATCAGGGCGCGACAGGTGGACAAGTTAGTGAGCAGGTTGAGTTTGTCGTTGAGACATTTTCAATAACCTCTCTGTGCCTGCAGTTCAGACGACAGGGTACAGCCACGGTCTGAAAAAGGAAGAAGTGGACAGAGCCAAAGAAGAAAAGCGCGAGGGTGCAGACAGCAGACAGCGAGGATGCTGCTGAAGGAGGATCGGAATTAGTGAAGGTAACAGGGCATGAGTTCCAGTAGGAGGGAGATGACAAGGGGAGGTTGAAAGAGAGAAACAACGGAGGGACGCTGACTCCTGACCTCCGACATCCTGGCGCTCTTTGGAGGCAGCCTCAAAGGCTGCCCTGGAGATCAGAAAACTGGGCTGGAGTCTGGAGAAGGGGCTGTGCACTGTCCCCAGTGTCTAAAAGGGCGACACGTTTTTTTTATTCTGATCGCCAGCCCGGGCGCGGAAACTCGGCGCTCGGAGCGTCTTTGGTCGCCTGGCAACCGCCACGCCCCCTCCCCTGCCTCCGCCTCTGCGGGGCAAGCTGAGCAGACGTTCGAAAGGGGCGGAGCCCCACAGGTCGGTCCTTGGAGCCTGGTCGGCAGAGAAATATGCAAATATACCCTGAAGGGGTGGAGTCAAGGAAATCTAGGGGCGGTGCCTCTGAGAGGCTTAGTGGAGTCCCCAGGCCCCGGAGAAAGCAGAGAAGTGTGCGCTGTAAACGTGAAGAGCTGGAATAACCAGTCTTGTTCGTGAAATGTGGTTTTATCTTCCTCTTTATCGCTAGCCCTACCCTGACCCTCAAAATCAGCCCCAAAGTTGTTAATAAGTTCTCGTGTGCTCAGATATGTATTTTTAAAATCAATACCATTTTCTCAGTGTTTTCTTTACAGTAATATGTTATTGAACGTTAGAAATCATCATATGTTCCTTTTTCACTCAACCTTCTTCTCTAGGGTCTATACCACACTCGTGCGCATTGCGGCTGACGGCTGTTTGGTGTTTCAAATTGGGAATCTAACCCATGTTATTCCCTCGCTCAAATGTTAAATAGCATGGCTGCCTCCAGTTCACCGACACCAGTAATAATGTAGCAGCCATGGCCACTGCTGTCTGGAGTTCATTTTATAGACCTGTATGTAAACTCCCCTGAAAGGTGTGCACAGGGGAATCCTGGGGATATCCCATTAGAACCTGTATGAGTCCAGCCAAGGGGCCACTAGGGCTAAAACAGCCTCTCCTCTCCCTACAGTGTGCCTACTGTAGTATGTACACTTCGGCTTGCCCTACTACACACAGGCAAACGCTCTGTTTTGCAGCCAACTCACGAACCTGAGAGGCTGTGATCCTGTGACTCCCCGGACAGTGTACCTCTTCACAGCCTGAAAGTGGGCTCTGCTTTCCGACTGCAAAGGTGTTCCTACTAATCCAGTGGAAGCCGGTTACTCGATGGCACCGAGGACTGTTAGAGGTCAGTACATAGCACGCCCTTAGGGCCTCGTACCACAGTGTCCCAGAGTCAGCATCTCTGCCACAGCTCATCTTCATAAACACCTACCCAAAAGGTGCTTACTGTGATCAAGGGCCTTACAAACACCGGTTCATCTAATTAGTGGATTATCTAATTCTGTCAGTGGGCTGGGAGAAGCAGGAGCACATTTTTGCTTTTATTTCCAGCCTCTCCACTGAAGAACTGGAACACTTCCTCAGATGTGCATGAGCCACGCTGGGTGTCCCCTATGTGAGTTGCCTACGCATAATCTCTGCAAACAGTTCTTTTCCTTTAAACGTCTTAAATATTTCTTGAAAGTTAAAATAATAGAAATAATAAAATAGCATGGAAAAAAGCATTTTACTTTTCTTTATTTGGACGAGTTTCAATAGGGTTTCATTTGGGGGATACCTAAATTGTCTTTTTAAAAATTACAGCAATGGTTGAAATCTATGTTAATCAAGAGGGTAAAACTCACTTGCATATCACTATTATGACATTTTAAAAACTCCATTTGTGTCTGCTTAAAGAGACTTTGGCTCTTTGACTAGTGAGACTCGCCCACATTGTCCTCTGACCTCCACACTTCTGCATCTGCCATGGCGCACAGGCACACACACACTTTCTTAAAATGTTAAACTGTAGCATTTTGTTCTTTTAGTTGGTCTTGATAAAGACCATTAGTTAGGCTGGAGAGATGGCTCAGATTAAGAGCACTGGCTGCCCTTCCAGAAGACTCAAGCTCAGTTTCTAACCCCTGCATGGTGGCTCACAGCCACCTGTAACTCCAGTTTCAGGGATCTGGTACCTCTGGTCCCGGTGGGTACCACACATCACATGTGTGCAGTGCAAGGA